AGAGAGAGAGAGAGAGAGAGAGAGAGAGAGAGAGAGAGAGAGAGAGAGTGAGGCGAGTTCGTCTCGACGGATGTGAGCGCAGGCAGTGTGCCCGTGCTCAAACTTTGCGTCGGTCCATCGAAGTGCGCTATTGTCCTTCGCGATCATAGACGGGGATAGCGTGTATTGCGTTGCGGATGTACGAAACACACTGCGATGAACCGAGCAGATTCACCTGTATAGCCCCACCAGGGCCTGCCACATAGGAGGGAGTGGGTTTGTGTTGATTGTTTGTTTTTCTTCCCCTCCCTGCCCTGCACGAATCTGACGGTGTTACCCTAGTTTGAGGCTCACGCCACATGGTGGCCTCAGTTTAGCTGTCACTGGTGTTGTGAAGGAGATTCGTGCTCCTAGCGAAGACTTGTCCCGGGATACGAAGGTGCAGCTCGATTCCCAAAACTCTCCCGGACTTGGGTTTCCCCAACAACACTTACACGCAGTGATGCCGCACGAGGACGCCCACGCGGACTCGACGAATCCAGCACGAGAAGGGGTGGTGGATTCCATTTCCCCTGGTTCTTTTCCTTTTTCCTTATGTTTTTTGTCGATAGTCGGTCGGGCAGCACGCTGTGTTGCATGTGCCGCCCCTCCACCAAGCATAAGTTTCTGCAAGCCGGACCGAACCCGTCGTTTTGAAATAACCCCTTTTTCCTTCCCCGGTCTCTCTCTCTTTTGCCATTGACGACGGCCCAAATTCAAGACCCGCCTCATTACAAAACAAGAATTCCCTGTTCCGCCCGGGCAATTCAAACCCACCGGCGAAAAATCCTCGGCTACACCCCCATTTACTCTGATCGGTGTCCGCGGGTGGGGAACGACGCCCGAGGTGTGAGGTTAGCGCTGGGACGCCCAACCTTACGCCCAGCGCGACTTCTTGATCGGAGTGAAATGCGGGCCCGGAAGTGCGAAAAAGGGGTGTGCCAACGATTTTAGGAAAGTGGGCGTGGCACGTCGGAACTTAGATCTCTTGTGGTAAGTTTCAGGGACAAGACTACAACAATGTGGACCCGGTTCACGTCTGGGCTTAAGGCTCTGTGGATCGGGTTTACCACCTACGCTGGCTCCGTCGACTGGGTCGGTCCCGTATTTGGTATACCGACGGGACGCTGTGGGTGTCAGGCTCTCTGAGCACCTGTTGCCGACGGACGTCACAAGTTTCAGAATCCGACGTGGCTAGCCTCAGTCGAAAACTGTGTGCCCGTTGCTCGACTTCAGAGAGGGTTCATTGGGTGAACCCTACGGCTCGGTAGGCGCGGTCCTGGTGGCACATAGAGCAAGGTGGGCCACGCCAATAAGGAGCAATCGCACGCCAGGGGGCGATCGTCAGGCTATCGAAGATAGCGTGAGGTAGTAGGGAGGGTATTCTATGTAGATGATGACGACGCCGGGTTCCGCGATAACCTGACACGTGGGCGGGTCGGGACTGTGAAAAGGATAAGGAATGTCGTTCGAGGCTTGCCCGATGTCCCACAAACAAACACGCTCGCACCCCGTTCGATAGGGGAATTCCGGGAGTTTGGCCCCGGGGCGTGCGGAGAAATGTGCGCTCCCAGTATTCTAAGAATTCTCGATCCCTCAACCACTCATGATCGGTGACGTTAAAAGGAGTTTCAATATTCATGTTGCCGGACTAGCAGAACCTCAGTCATTCGGGAGGTGGGTCACAGACAGGTTTTGCAGACACACGTATAAGCAGCCGCCCTCGGGGTCGAGCTTACACGTGCGTGCACAAGACCTGTATGTCGCTCTCTGGGAATGGGGTCTGTCGGGTGTGCGTAGGGTATATCCAATAACCTAACATGCACATCTACTTCGTTCGAAACGCTTGTGTTATATGTGCGTACAACCGACAGAGATCATGAACCCAATATGCGATCGATCATTATGATTGCCAGTTCGGGCAGACTAAGAGACACATTTCTTCCGCTTTCCTTCTCTCCTTCTACCTTTACATATTGTATTGTATGTACTCATCTCAGTCCATGAGGATCCAAACTCATGATCTGTTCATTACCAGTCATGTGTGTGTGCACCATTCAGCCACATGGCCTGGGTTTAACTCGTGTATGTTTTCCTTCTCTCTTTTTCCTCTTCTCTCTTGCACGCGCAGCAGGACAATTCATTCTCTTTTCCTTTTTCTTTTCTGAAGGGCAACGGCCTTGAGAAATCCTTATCGAACTGATCGGCCGTAGGTAGTTCAGAATTGTAATTCAGAAATTGTACCCATCTGCTCTGAGTGGAGTTCGAACTCGGGTCCGCATTTCAACAGTTTGTGGGTGTACCAACTGAGCTCAGCCATTGGAATTTTGTTCATCAGGTTGCTCCTGGATTCGAACTCAGGTCTGCGTTTCAACAGTACAGGTGTGTGTCCCAAGTGAGCCAGGCCAGTTGGTAGACAATTTTTTTTTCTTCTTCTTCTTTTTTTTTTTTTGGGGGGGCCAACGGCGTTCTGATATCATCATTGAATTGACCAGCCCTAGGGGGTAATTCAGATATATGTTCTGATGTTAATCTGACTACAAATCTGGATTCGAACTCAGGTCTGCATTTCAACAGTAAAGAGGTTTGCCAACTGAGATATAGGCCAGTTCATAGACAATTTCCTTTTTTTTTTTCTTTTTTTTTTTTTTTTTTAAAGAGCCAATTTCAATTTTTCAAATCACAACAAAAGCAAGAAAACAGATTTAAAACAACAAAGACAATAACGAACGACCACAGAGATTCTGTCTACCAGCCCGCGGTCAGTGACGGTCTGGGTCCCGATCAGGTCGACAGCGCCCTCCGCAGCGTGTTTGACAGACAGCACATAAAGCCCCAACGTCAGGTCCGACAAACTCCACCCGTCCATCCCAGACGTGGCCTGTCTCATGCTGGTTGCGATATCCACAAGGGACCTCCAACTTGCTGGCAGAAAAACTGACGTACTAGCTTGACCTGAAACAAAGAAGCG